TAGCATTTTTATATATTCAAAAAAAAAGTATTTACACATAGTCATTACAATTATTTTCTTATAGCAAGAATAAATATTTAATCAATAAGATATTAGAATAAAAGAAGTTAACATTGTAACTAACCTAGAATTAGTATATGAAAATATACTTAATTTTGCTTGATTAAGTAAAATACTTAATTAAAATGTGTTTATTATTGAAATGATAGATTGTATAAAAATTCAATTTAAATTTACTTATTTAGATGAATTAAAAGGTATTATTAGATCAATTTTAAAATTATCAGAAACTTTAATTAAAATATATAACAAAATTTATGATATTATAAATAATATAAAACAAAAAAAAAGCTATTGTGATACAAGTTAAAGAAATAATATTAAAGGTATAAATTAAATATAATTTTAAATATTAATTGATTAATAATATATTTATATTTTAAATATTTTTTTTAGATTTCTATTGAAAAAATTTTATCTCTGTAATCTTTATATTACTAATAAATGGAAAATATAATGCTACAGAGATTTATGATCTTTTAATAAATGTAATAACTATATTACAAGATACTAGTATTAATTTGATTAGTTTAAGATCAGGTATTGCTCTTGTTGAGTATAATGCATAATAATTAATAATGAAAAGTGAAAAGACTGAAACTTTTTTGAATTTCATGATAATTATTATAATATATATTTTTAGATAATTATAATATGATTTTAAAAAACTTTTAATTAAATAAATTAATATAATAAATACTAATATATTAGATTTTATCTATAATAACTATGTAAGATCCTAAACATAGTAAAAAATAGCTTGTAATCAACTTTATTTAGATGTAATATTACTTATACTTGAAAATAATGTAATTCTTTATCAATAACTTTTAATTCTTACTTAATCTTCAAATCATGCACTTTATATCTAAAATGTTTTAAATATTGATAAACAAGATGATGAAGCTGTATATAGAGTATTTTATTTAGATATATTAGCACAAATATATCAAGCTAATTTAGAAAATAATAAAATGCAATCTTTATTCATTTATCTATTTATACTAGGTATATAAATAGTAAAAGCTTATTTTATAATTAATTATTTTATATTTATTATAATAAATTTTTTTTAAATAGGAGATCTCTTTGATTCATATTTAAATAATAATGTTTGCTATAAGAAAATAATTGTAATGACTATGTGTAAATACTTTTTTTTTGAATATATAAAAATGCTAATAAATTATATAATTCAATATTTTCTATTGCTAAGAACTTAATTTTTCCACAAAGTTTTAGAATTTTTATTAGTTTAATAAAATCTTTAATACTTTTAATTATATTTTATTGTGAATTTTATTTATTATATCCTTTATACCTTAAGAACATAATATCAGAAGCTATAGAACATGTATTTAGTATATCTCATCAAATAATAAATAATTTTTCCTTTTATGAATTTTTTAAAATTCAATAATACATAGTATATTAGAATAAAATTATTAGACAAATTATAGATATTCAAAAGGAAAAATATAGCATCAAGTAAATTAATATACTAATATATGTCAAATTTTTGTAAATATAATTAATTTATTAACTATTTATTAGAATACATATTTAATTTTGATTCAAATTCTAGATTAAATAAAAATATTGATATTTTACAAATATAGCCAAATGATAATACTATTTATGATGCAATCAAAATAAATCAGGTTCTGAGAAATTTTTGACTTAAATTAAGAGCTTAATATATTTTAATCTAATAACATCAAAAATTAAAATGCAATAAAAATCTCAATTTTATTAAAAAATTCTCAGAACCTGATTTTCCTAGCAATCAACCCATATGATAATGCGCTAAATTTATTAAAGTATTAGAAATTAAATTATTAAATGATAAATCAATTTCTTGTTTTTATGGTTTAACATCATATCAATCAATAGCAATTTTTGATATCTTAAATAGTGATCTTTATAATTCCAATATAAATGATATTATTGGAATTGATTTTGATAATAATAATAATAATAGATCTAATTTGAATGAAGAAAATCCTTCTTTAATCAATGCAGCTTTAGAAGTGGCACAATTATCAGAATTAGCAGATTTTGAACAAGAAACAATTGAATTAGAACAAGCTTTCAGATTTGTCAAAAATGAAATTGAATTATATTTTAAAATATTTCAAAACAATTTTTTCAAGAAATTGAATTGGAAAAAAATGAATTTTTTATACAGATGGCTTAATGAATATAATTCAAATTCGTGTATCACATAATGCATTTTTACGATCTGAACGATCTTGTCAATTCGTAAACTAAATGCAATTCAATTATCCGATATCAAAAAAAAAAAAAATCAAAATTCTGCAAATTTACTAGTTTCAGAATTTTTCCAAAATAGTGATACTTTTGAACCAACAATTAGATCAAAGAATGATGGATAAGAAGACAAAAAATTGAGAATATTAGATTACCTCAATATATTAAAGGTATGATATATCTTGATTTTTTATTATATTTATTTATTATTTTAAACAATAGTTTCAAATCTTTCTCGCGCAAATGTAACTGATAACAATTCATTACAAGAAAATGATTTTATTTTATATATATCAAGAGAAGAGATATTACTAGGGAAAGTATTATCGATGTATAAATCAGTATCTAAGCGTCATGCTTATATTTCTACTTCAAAAGATATAGATTCTTTATCTTATATTTCAGTTGCTACATATATCAATATTGATGGCAATTTATTTTCTCTGGCAAGTAAATCAGGTGGCAATTTATTTGCACATATAACACCAAAACAAGTTATTTATCACTTCGATAATAGCTTAAATATAATTTATACAGATTCAACAATTACTAATCTAATTGGTTGTATATGCTTAATAGGAAAAGCATATATAACTAATACTTTAGTAACAATTCTTAATTAGCTAATGAGATTTTTTTTTGCGCGATAACTGTATTTTGGTATAATAAAATTCTTTATATGAGAAATAATGTTGTTTTTTATTTTGGGTAACGTTACTAATAAATTTTTAGCTTAAAATGGGTAAAGACAATAGTGAATTTCTCGAAATTTAAAACAACCTCTATATAGAGTTTCCGGGGTCCTGGGCGGACTCACTAACAAATTTATTAAGTTGCATAGTATTTAACAGTCCTCCGCTGACTAATAAGCGACAACTTGTCTCTTTTGCTCAATGGCATATGAATTGCATCGTTGTTTAACTATTTTTTTTTATTAACAGCACTTAAACGTTTTTTTTGAGACGGCATTTGTGTAAATTTTTATCAACGAGTTCGCGCGTGATTAAATTTAATCGCGATATTGTAATATGTTACACAAGCGATATCTATTAGATTTGACGCATCTTTCTTTAGCATTCTTAAACTATGACCGAATAGGTCAGTCTTTTTAATCGGCAGTTTCTTTTTAAATTTTTATTTTAAAAAGGTACCCGAAATTAAACAAAAAAGGTTTTCTAATTACGGAACGGTACGGTATATGTAATTCATTAAGGCGCGCGCATAACTTTACTTATTACAACAAAGGTAATTTAATAAATAAATAAAAAGTTTAATTTGAAATAACATTTTATCGATTTTCTAATTTTAAGTGCAGTTGATAACTCACTGACATAACATCCTTTTTTCAGCTAAAAAAATCTAATTTATTATGATAATTCGGCTGGTGCTAAATTATTAAAATTCCGACCAGTATATTTTGTACGTTAAAAAAAATAATTTTTATCTTTAAAAAAATATATATATATATATATATACTTTTATATAAAACAGATGGATAATGCATGCAACCAAAATAATATAACTTGCAAGATTTTTGATTGGAACTTCATAGGAAAGATTAATTATCCTTCCTTTATAAGAAATTTGTGTTCAAATTACACCTTAAGTTTCTACTCTACTGCTTAATAATCCTAATGATTCTTCTTCTAAATTATCTTTTTTAGGTTTTTTCCAAAGACAAAACATACCGCGCCTAAGAATATTTAATAATTCATCTTTCATGGCAAAGATCCAGGGTTTCGAACTTGATATTCTATCAGTTCTTAATCGATGAGAACTATCAATACAAGAGAACACACATACCTTTATATGAAATATATATACATATATATAAATTGTTATTTTTTTGAAGTTTACTATAGAAAAACTGTGATTCACTTACAATTATTGAGGCTAATACGCCTAATGCTGTAGACGCAGATATCATGAACATGATAATCTGTTGATACCTAACGGCAACCATTATAGGTGCACCACTAATAATTTGACCAGTCATCATACCTATGAAAAATTAATACTTAGATAAAGGAATTAAAATTTTGTAATTAACACATTAAATTACCTGGAATGGAAATCAAACCGATAATACTGAAAGTTTAATACGATAGATTTAGTAAAAGGTTTCGAATTTAATAATACATGGACTAGGAGTTACCTCATTGAATTGATTGTAGGCAACATGGCTAATCTTATCGCCTCGACTGCAACTGGACGACCAGCTTCCCACCGAGAAGCACCAAATGACAAGTACAGTTCTAACTTTTCTTTTTGTTCACTAGCATAAGAACAAAATTAATAAAAGAAACAGAGTGAACGAGGCATCACGTGACACGATTAAATACCTGAATTGATTAAGAGCATAAGAAGTACCAACAGCTATTGCAGACATACCATTCCCAAGAAGCATACCCATTGTTGGTATGAATATTCGTGGATTCCAAAATTCTTTTTGATCCAAAGCGTATCTCGACCCTTTATTAACGAGAAATGTTGATGATTATGTAACAAATAAAAAAATAAGTATGATTGAATACTAAATATCTTTACCAATGATACCAATTACCAAAGTACTTAGTCCCAGTGAAAGAAGGACTGATATGAACTATCAAATTTACGATCATGATATATCGTTAATAAATCCTCTTAATCAGAATCACAAATGCAATTTCGTGATATATACCATTCCGGAATGCCTCCTCTTGCTCTTGCTAAGTACGATCTCATTGGCGCCGAGAAAAACAAGAATAACTGAAAATCAGATAAAACAAATTTAAAGAAGTCCTAAACAATAAAATATATTATTTAACTTGTTTGACCTACATATCATTGCTAGAACAATAAAAGGATTATCTGCCTTGAAAACATCTTCAAGAACTAAACCCTAGTTATAAAATCGGATAAATTTACAAGTAATATTTGATTATAAATAAATAAATTTAAAAAAAAAATGCATCCAACCATTAAGGTCAACTGTACAACACATCGAACCGAGCTGACAAATAAAGATGCTTCTAAATGCAAACCAAGCCATATAGAGATTATGCCTAACGAGAGTTACAAGCGAGAATCAATATTTATTTATATATGATCAGAGACTAAAGAAAATAATAATGCTGTATACCGTTGATTATTATAAACGTTGAAGCTATTCCTACATGATACCAATGGAGTGTAGATTCAACTCCACCGGTTTCTTGATAGCAATCACTATTAGTCGAAGCTCCATAAAAAAATGACGGAACGTTGGTACCAAATATCATTATGTAGACGAATTTCGAAAACTAGATTTACCAAGTGAAATTCATAAATTATTTCAACAAAAACGCGATCATTTAGCCCTGTTCATTTCTGGATCGGATCGCTCGGATCGGCAAAATCAATAACCAATAAATCGTAGCTATTATTGAGTACAATTTTTTTGATCGGATCGATAGTTTTTTTGTTTCATTGGCTTTTAAAAATTTTATTAAAAACCATTTTAGCAAAATTTGACTTATTCTTATTCTTTTGTAACTAGAAAATTCTCTTCAAGAAAATTTATCAATAATTTTGTATTTTCATCATTCAGCCTTCTTCTTCAGATTGAGAAGCATTATTAGAAGTGTCTTTTTTACACTTTTTTTTTAAAAATTTTTGGTTTAGCGGTGTTGGAGTAGTATTAGTAGTAGGTTCGATCGGTGGTAATGAATTAAAAGTGAGTTGGAGGTTGTTACAGCTATAATGTCTGGATTTTTGTGGTTTTGGGGCAATTGAACAAAAGGTAGAATTTGAGTTAGACATTTTAAATTAAACGCGACAAATTTTAAGGTAAGTTGATCGTGTTGATCGCCACCTGAGGCTATTTTTGTCTAGATCAGACTGGATCGACCAAAAAAAAATAGCCAATCATATCGAAGGTACAATTTTTCTTTGTCAAATACCCACTACAGAAAAATACGACGATCAAAAAAATTGGGTGTCGTTGAAAAAAAATATGTTTAGTTATACTTAAATTAAAAGATGTAATAATATAATTCTATATTTATTTACCCATTCTTCTTGCGCAACTCTAATTCTTGCTTGGATTTAGGCAATGGTAATCTCACAAAGGATTCAATTGGATTTAGTTCTGGACTTTTGCGCCACTCAAACTAATACTGAAATTTCATCCACCAAACTATATAGATGTATGAATGAAGCCCGATCTTGTTAAAATATCATATTTGGATTATTGCGAATCCATGATTTGCAAGAACATTGATATATTTTCGTTAACAATTACTAGTTAAACAATCTCAGAACATCACCAAACTTTAATGTAAGTTGAATGCAATAGTTAATATAGGCTTCACCAACCCTAGACATATTATTCATCAGGCCATACAATATTTTTCATTCCTCTTGCCAAATCATTTTATTTTACACCGGTTTAATCTATCAATTTGATTTTTTGAGTTAATAAAGGTTTTTTTTTTGAAACAATTTTTAAATTTTATATTATATAGATATATAGATATTTGCGAATTGTATTATTAGAAAGATCATTATTTAGCTGACTTGTAATTTTACCAAGAGAAGCAAATCTATCTTTATAAATAATATTTTATAAAAAAAACATTTTCAGTAATTAGATAATGTTTTTGATCAATCTAAATATTTATTAGAATATGAAAAACTAGTTTTTTATAACAATTAATTGTGCAAAGTTCATTATAATTCTATGCAATATGAAAAAATTTCAGTCATATGAATAATACAAGAACTTCTCTGTCTAAGCTAATTATGTTAATTTAAACAATTTTATTGTTATGTAATTATTGCTTTTCTCTGTTCACATACATGATTGTCACTAATAATACTAATAATATATTTTGCAATAATAAGTATTATATACAGTTTGAAAGGAAATATTAAAATTAGATAAAATTTTAATATTATTATCAGTATGATAAGCATCAATTATTCATTCTTATTATTTGCTTATTAATTCTTTTTAAGCATTTTTAATACTAGAAAAATTAAAAAAAAGACAAGTATTTATTTGTAATACTTATAATTGTATTTATATCAAAAAGAGATAATAACAACTCTTAAAAAATTTTTAAATAATCATAGTAGTTAATTTCTAATGATTTATTAGTTAGTTATGATTTATATTTATTTTACAATATGATAAATATATTATAACTAGCAATTTTACCTGGGCAATGTCTTAGAATCACTTTATGACAAAAAAGTGTAAAGTTTTAACAAATTTTAAGATAAGTTAAATTTGGTTTAGTTAAATTGAAATTGAAATTGGAGTTGATTTGGATTAGGATAAAAAGGTGTTTAAAAATATCTAGTATCATATTATAAAATTATAATAAAATAAAATATAAGCTTTCATTTTTATAAAATAATATAGTTTTGAATTTTTTGGAAAAAAGATTTTTCATCATATATCATTTGTTATTTATAAAGGGTTATGACAAATATAATTTTATTATATAACTTAATTTAGATTAACATTATAAATTAAATTCTATAAAAGATAATTATCTTTATTTTTCCAAAACTTAAAATGAAAATATAATAATTATCATTTATAAAGCTAGCTGAAATTGGATAGGTCATGTGATTTTTATATGATTTTATGATATATAATAATATAATCATATAACTTATAACTTTATGATTTAAAATTTTTTGAATGATTATATTATATATTAACACTGATAAAATAAACTAATATTAATATATTTTTTTTAAAAATTCAATTATAACTTTTTATAATAAAATTTAATTCTTTTTAATTTAAAGATTTTAAAACTTATAAAAATATATACATTAGTTTTCTTTTGTATTTTTTTCAAAAACTCTTTATATTCTTTTTTTATAAAATTTATTTTTAACTTCAAGGATTTAGATTAGTTTATAATATAAATTATTATTAATATTTTTGCTTTAATTTTAAAAAAAATTTTTAATTTAAAAATTTTTTATAGAAGATTATTAAAAACAAAAATTTTCATATATCATTTTCTATAATAAATTACTCAATAATTACTGATTCAAATTAAATTAATTAATTTTTATATATTATAAATATAATCTTAAAGTATATTATATAAAATTTTTATATAATTTGATTCAATTTATTTTTTAGATATTGTCACTGTAGAATTCTTTAACTCAAGTTAACTATGTTTTTAATTTTTTATTTGAAATTGCTAACTTTAATTAAAATATTAAGATCTGTCTAACTCTTAACTTTATTAATTTATATGCTAAACTTAACAGTTTTATCAAGTATGAAAACTTAAAATATGATATTACAAACAAATTTAATTAAAGAATTTAGATGATGAACTCAATTATAAATAATATATAAAGATTATATCAGACTATATAAAGATACGAAGAGGCAGAAAAATATAAGTTTTAATTAATTCCTTTATTAATATTAAAACTTATATTTCAAAATTTGTAAAAAAGTTAATTTATAATATAAATAAAAGTCTATCTATTTATACAAAATTTCTTTATTACAATTAATTAATTATTACACTATAAATTAAATATTTTAGTAGATAAAATAAAGTAAACTAAATAAATTAAAACAATAAAAATAATAAAAATACATAATAAAATAAAAATAATAATAAAAGTAAAATATTAAGAATAAGTATTAAATCAAATATTCTTAAATTTCGTTTAATTTATGAATTAAGATATTATCAATATTTGAAAGATTACAGAATTACATAAATCCTTCATATTTTTAGAATTTGCAGAATTCTTAGTATTTTAAAATTTTATCATTATATTTTATCATTTATGTGAATTTATTATTATTAGTTAATTGTTTCACTAATAATATAGTAATATAATATTTTATTATATAAAACAATTTCAGTAGAAAATTTCAAAATATGTATAATTTTAGAAAAAATAAAAATTATTATCTAATACTCTTTATTAATAAAACTAATTTCTATTAGATCAACTAATTATTTTATCTGATTTTAATCATAAAGATTTACTAAGTAATCTTTATTACTAAATTAAATAAAAAAAGTTTAAAACTATTAGTTATCACTAATCTAAAAAGAAACTAATAGCATTATATTTATAAGAATTATTAAAGAGAGAAATATAATCTATAATATTATTATTATAACTAAAAAAAAAATTAAAAAACTATTTATAGAAATTGAATATTAAAAGAAATAAAGTTACTTTTTTGATGATAGTGATTTGTAAAGATTTTTTTTATCAAATATCATATCTAGTTTTTATATTATGCAAATTTGATTTTAGTAATTAAATATTATAAAAGGATTTAGAATATTATTAACTTTATTAAAAAATCAGTTTTTGAAATTTAGATGAAAATTTGTTATTTTAGATTTATAATAAAAATTAGTAATAATTAATTTTAGAGTAGATCTAGTCATGTCAAATGAAAATTTCAAATTTACTATGATCAATAAGTAAACTATTTTCAACTCTGCTAAGAAAACTCTCATTATGACTTAAGAAAATTTGACTCTGCTAAGCAAACTGTTTTGTGACTTATATATATTAAGTAAAATT